AGAGTCTATAAAACTTTGAATTCACCGGTAAGTACGCCACATTTGTGATATTTTCAGTTGTATATGAGACCGACTTTGAACGTGTCAGCGGATTTTATAATGTAGGTGGTTCCGTCATTTACTAGATGAGCTAGCAATATCCCGAATAAGTAGAGAATAGCAGCGCTGTATCGGTACCTTCGTTGAAGGCAGTACCTTTGAAAGGAGAAGGAGACACAAGAAAACCGGCAGAGAGGCGCAGATGTATATAATAGGTGTTAATATTTCAAAATATATAACAGACATGGGGTTCATCATTTTTTATTGTTTTTTTCAAGAAACACTATTTCCCCGATAGGTTTTAGTAATGATATTCTACAGTCGTTTTTGAGAACAATTAGTCTAAGTGAAAAACAGGAGATAATTTTACCTACTTATGTAGGTTGAAAAGGAGTTAAACACAAAAGTCAAAGTGCGTAAACCATGTAAAATAAAAGCGAGGGCTTAATAATATCTACTGTTTTTCTGAAGTATACAGAATTACATTATCTTCAAATCATCGTAAGCAAATGAACCTTTCAGCGACCGTAGGTGTAATATTCTCCCTTCATTAGTTGAGGCAGTGTTAAGAAAAGTCTGGCCGCCAGTTAGACTGGAAAGGTTGAAGAGTCAGTTGGCAATGTGGCCACAGCTCAGGTCTGGCAGGATAGATGGCCATTCAACATTCGTGAACGTTATTCCTAGTTGAGGCCGATCGAGGGCGAGCTCTAATTTGTTGAATTAATTTAACCAACTTGTTTCTTGAATAACTGATATTAGGTTACCATCATAATCATTCATGTCATTGTATGGCACTCTTTCGCGAAAGCATCTGAGTGGGAATGACTTCTGTATGAGAAAGATGAAAACTGTCTTAAAGGAGGAGCTTTAATATGAACTTTCCTTTTGCAGTACTTCGTATGTGCCCACCATTTCAGAAAGCCACTTTACTGTAAATATCACGAGAGCGCACAGATTCTACGAAATTTCTAGTTTTGTTCTACATATTTCCTGCACTTTTGTTTTCGGGTTTAAATTCTTTTCCAAAGCCCTTCCTTGTGATTATCCGAAGTATGTGGGGATTACCATCGCTTTATTACCACGCTACGCATCAGCCAGTCGTTAGTGCGAAACACTCCATATCTGCAATCTTCTGGTTAAGAGCAAGTCCTGTATTTATCAGATATTATTTATATTGAAAAACTAACACACGTTAACTATTAATAATAATATCAATATAATCTCATTTTTTACACGAGGGACACCAGTTTACAGGCATCATCAATTCGATAAGTTACACATAAGATTAATAAGCATATTTTGTGAAGATAATATAATATGGTACATTTTTCCTAGCTATGTAGGATACACCAATTGTATAGGCATGCATAAATATCGTTTTATTAATAATAATATATTTCTCGCTGTTTATGCAGGAACATATCTATTGTACAGTCATGGATAAGTTGTTATATAAATTACACACAGTTTGATGTATAATGGATTTACAGTTTGGTTGTTCTTTCTGACATTAGAGTCCGTCGGAACAGTCTGCTATAAAGTCTGTTTGTGTAGCACATAAAGAGATATAGAAATATTGTCTTCGCATTAACAAAAAACCCAGACATCAGATGAATGTGATACAGATATCTGGGAAAAATAAAGCTTGAAGTCAATTCTCCTATATAACTTTGTTGTGATCAGCACCCTTCGCTTAAAAATTATTGATTTATCATGTTGAGATCAGTGATGTGTTTATTCCATTTTTCAGCAGTCTTGTCGTAGTTTCATAACAGGTAAGAAATTTGATCGTGGATACGAAAACTAGATAAGGTCATGTTAAGTTGTTTTACTGCATCAAATAGTGCCGAGGTCGATTTCAGAATTGCCCATTTGGGCCATTTGTGTCAGCATGGTGTACTCGTAAGTTGTGTAAAATGTTGATAAACTGTTTGAAAATCTTCACTTGTCTTGCATTCTCCTTCTGACCTCCTTTTGACACAGACACTGCCGTAGGTAACTGGACTGAATCAGTAATGCAGTCCCCTACACCGGTATCAATCGGAAAAAACGTTGAAATCGCTCGAACTTTACGTCGCGAGTATTCATATTGCTGCTGGCACATCCGTTAAAGATCGGAACAGACACTGTCAAGAAACCAGTCCATCAGTTCCAACCTGGTCCCACATGACTGCTAGCATTACACTTGTGCTTGCCCGGTGACTGTGGAATTGTCAGAATTTCCAGACGCCATATTCAGGACCGTAGTCTCTGACGTGCGCTTCACACCTCATAAACCAATAATGCGTGTAAATTCCGGGGCTTATACGTTTCGCTTTGGTTCTGGTCACCTCAGGCCGCTTCTTACCTCCTAAAGACGGGAAACTTTAAAACTTTCTGGTGAACTTGACAAGCGATAGGTATATTATAGTCCTGAATTTTGATTAAATCAAATTTCTTACAACGTATTCTATTAGGTCCATTTTATCAGACATTTTCCCTGTTATTTGTTTTTATTCATTGTTTACTTGCTTTCATTATTTAAATCAGTGTTCGTTCTAATTTTTTACTATGAATTCCTATCCTCAGTCTTAACAGTTATTGGAAATGATCACGTTAATGCCTGTGGAAATCGATTGTTTCCCCAAAGAAAAAATTATTAGTTTTAGCCTGGTAGCGTAGACATCTTTCTGGGACTATCTATCCAGTAACGGATGAGGTGCATTCACTAGTTAGATAGGTTCAGATTCCTTTTACTGTTCACTGGTAACCCGGTGAAAATCTCGCCAGCCAGCACTGCATTGTACAAGTGTACAAGTTCGAAGGGGACGACCAAAAACGAATAAAAGTACTCCATAATTTTGTCTAAAATATTTGTTTATAGACTTTTGCTGTTCTCGGCTTTCATTGCCAAACAATATAATTTCATTCTTACAATGCTGGTGTTATTGAGTTAGAGTCGAAGAAAGTACATTGACAATGTAGTTGAATATTGAACGATCACTTCATGGTTGTTTGCACAAACCCAACTCCTCCATATTTTTCGCGGGCCATCAATCCACCAGTCATCGTTTCATCGTTCGCTGTTCAGAGGAAGATTAAAAACTGTCAGAAGTATTACCGTGATTCATTGTTATAACATTTATTCCTAGACCTTGTGTAATAACCTTATTGTTAGTTATATGTTGGCGTATGAATAAAGGATTCTTGAGTCGTCGATCAGTGTTCTGGTTTTCGCGTTTGTTAATACAAAGTGTTTCTGAAAGTCTTCGAGGGACAGCGTGAGGTCCAGCGTAGTAAGAGCTGTACATTGACAGTTTATGAGACTTGGCTGACAAGAGGCGCTAACTGAATAGGCCCATTTAAAATAAGTGAAACTGGAAAAGGAGAGTGGTATTTTTTACGTTGTGATTTAACTTCTGCTTTTGTTGTTTAAATCACATCAGAAGCTTTTTGGTGCACTTTAACTGATCTATCCGGTCAAAGTGTTGTTAACTTTATTCACATTTTGTTGTGTTTGGGTTTTACCTCACTGTTTTTAAGTATATATATTTGTGTAGTTTAGACAAATTACAGAGTTATGAGCTTGACTAACAACTCCGGACCACCGGACTGCCACTTTCCGGTGGATGATGAGATGCAGTGTGGCGACTGTAGCCTATGGTTTCACAAAGTTTGCACTGGTTTATCACCAGTAGCCGATAAAAGATGTTGCAAGCCATCTACCACTTGGGTGCGCAAATTTTTAAGTAGCCGGTTGGATGTCCTCATGCAAGAGGCAGTAAGACTTCTTATGTCCAAGAAATTGTTGAACAACCTGGTCGAAAAGCCTGCATCAGAAATCATTGCCGAAAAGGCGATTCAGGATTTAATAATAAAGCTTAGACTGTATAACATCCTGAAGTGTCTGATACAAAAGAGGCACAGAGTGCCCGAAAATGTGCTGCGGCAACGTGCAAACAACTGAGAAAATCCAAAAAGCAAGTAGTGCCAGTGTGGTAATACCGGCTGGTGAAACGGTCACGCCAAAGCTCGGCGTGTCCAATATACGACTGGCCTCTAGACGCGGCGAAAACAAAGTGGAAAACCCCACTCCGCTTGGTTGCTGCCGACAAGAAGCTAAATAAACGTAGGAAAGGAACAGCAATCAGGCTAAGTAACAAGGTCTCGACTGTTGTTAGAACCAACCAGACTGCAAAGTCTACGGACTCTAGTTACAGTGTCACCATCTAGAACTTAGAGGAATCTAAAAACACAGGGAGCTCACATTAACAGTGCTTGAACGTGCACCGTGCATCGTATGTATTCACCAACACGGTATCACCCATCTACACTAGACTTGGTACTAACACGCCAGAAGGAGGACGTCGGTAACGTTAGGTGTCCTCCGTCGCTTGGTAACAGTGACCAAGCACTAATTAATTTTAAGTTTAAGATTCATTCTCTCACATACAGGTCACCTGCTCGTCCAAACGTTTGTAAAGCGGATATACCGGGGGTCCAGAACGCAACAACTGTAGCTAATTGGTAAGTTGATATGAGTCGGACTGTCGAGGAAACTTGGGCGGCATTTAGGAGTACACTAGATAGTGCCACTTCACCTTTTATAATAATAATAATAGTATATTCTCATTTTGTACATGAGAGACGCCAGTTTACAGGCATCATCAATATGATAAATTACATATACGATTAGCAATCATAATTAATAATAATGTTTTAATAAAATACACATTTTTTCCTACTTGTGTAGGACACACCAAATATACAGGCATGGATAAGCATTATATAAATTTCATAAATTTGGTTTATGGTTAAGTTACATGGTTGCTGGCGTTTTTGTCTTAGGTCTGTGGGAACAATATGATAACCAGTCATTCAATGGAGCACGTCATGAAATATAGGAATATTAACTTCGCATTAACAAAAAAACCCAAGTAAGTTTTGGATGGATTAAAAATACTTGGGAAAAAATAAAGCTTGAAGTAATTCCTCAATATAACTTGGGTGTGTACAAATCCGAATCTCATTTTTGATTTATATCCAAATTGGGTAATAAGGAAGCTATTTTTACAGATACGATCAGTTATGTTATAAGCTACAATCGTGACGTTGTATTACAAATAGATACTTTTCCATTGGTATAAGAGTATATTCCACAAATGTAATCCAGGTTGCGTCGTGGAGAAAGTTAATTCGTTATTAACCAGGCAACTGAAAGATACGGGACCAATAATGTTTGCAGATCATTTGTCATTGTAAATGGTCAAATATCCACATTATTCATTCTCATTCAAAAAGTCAAATGGAAGCTGAAATGGTGAGAGAAAAAAGAAGACAAACAACAGCAACGCAAAAGAAAGCAACGGGAGTCCTTAAGGAGTGATTAATAAATATATACATATATATTCTGTTTAGTAACTGTGGTTATTTTGGTACACAAACTAACTAGTCCCGTTATGCTAACTTTTATATTATGTGTAAACTAATATTACTGTCCTGTGTAGAAATGTTAATCATCTAGTTCCAATAATATTAAAATTTATAATTGTAGTTTGTTGTAACTACACGTTTAAAGAACTTAAAATATCTATGTAGGGTGAAAAAGAAGGTGTAAGAGTCAGGCGCAAAAGTGCATTGTCATCTTTGAGCAGTCTGGTGACTGAGGAGATGAACACTGGAAGTGTGTTTGCATCGCGCACATTAGCTGGTAGTCTATTCCAAATGACTGAAAACTTATTTAAGAAGAAGTTGTACCGCACGTAAGTCTGACAGTGCTCCATAGCAGCTAGGTTGTGATGATTTCTAAGATTGTAACTGATGACAGCGGTAGGTTTAGTTATTGGCTCGGAGGAATGCAAGAGAAGATTAGTTAGCTTATAGTAAAAGATAAGGTTTAGCTTAAGGCGTCTTTTCCAGAGGGGTTCTAATCTTAGTCTTACGCATCGCTCATGGTATTCCAGACCACTTTCTAAACCAAGAGTTCTTGAGGTAAACTGCCGTTGCACTCCCTCTAATTTAAGCTTGTCATTTTGTCTTAGTCCGCTAAGAATAAACGGGCAGTATTCTAAGATAGGTCGGACACATACTTTGTATAATAAAACCCTAGTTTCACAACAAAAGAAATTGCGTGTTATGCATCCTATCAGCCTTCGCGTTTTACGTCTGGCATAATCAGTCTGTTCAGCGAACGTTAGGTTACTAGAGTATCTAATACCGAGATCTACGACTGAGTTGAGCTTAGCTAGTTTTCGCCCATTTATTTCAAGAGTTAGATCAAGGTTACTGTTGCCGATACAAATCCAGCCGCATTTGTCAATGTTAAAATTTAGACAGGATTCAGCACACCACGTTGCAAGGCTACTTAGTTCAAGATGTATTTTAGTAACCATATCGCTTAATTCATGAGTGTAGCAGGAGTAGACGACTTTGAGGTCGTCAGCATATAGGAATGGTTTGCCTAAGGTGAAGCACTTGCAAATGCTGTTAATGTAGACTGTGAATAAAAGTGGACCTAGGACACTACCTTGCACGACCCCACTTGAGATCTGCCTAGGATGAGACAATACAGATCCAACTTTGGTTATTTGTACCCTGTTGCTTAGAAATGATTTTAACCAGTTCAGTAATGGGTTGCGAATTCCACAAGAGTACAGCTTCTCAAAGAGAATACTGTGAGATACCATGTCAAATGCCCTAGATATATCGAAGTAGAGAACAACGACTAGCTTACGTGCTTCGCGACTACTAGTGATGCAGTTGAAAAAGTCGAAGTGGCAAGTAACGCAGGATCTATTTTTGAGAAATCCGTGTTGAGACCTTGTAACAAGATCTTCCCTAATTAGGTAGTCTGACAATTGATCTTTTACAACTTTCTCCATGATTCGTGAGATAACTGGGGTTATATTTATGGGTCTGTAATTGCGGACGTTTGCCCTATCACCAGATTTGTAATGTGGAATTATGAAGCTAGTTTTCCACTCACTAGGGTAAGTGCCAGTGTCCATAGATATTGAGAAGAATTTAAGAAGTAACAAGGGTATATCACACCCACTGTTTTTGAAAATTATCGAAGCGAGGCCATCCGGTCCCGTACTAGTGGAAGGTTTAAGGCTTTTAATTGCTTGTACTATTAACTGATTAGTGAACACAATGCTTTCAAGGGAAGAGATAGTAAGGGGAGCGGTTTCACCAGGCATATGTGTTTCTAAACTAAAGTTTGCAAACCAATCACTGAAGAGTTCACAGATAGTGGCAGGTTCATTGTAGATTACTTTGTCGTGAAGTAAGTATGGGATTTCCCTCGCCGACTGCATTCGTTTTTTAAGAAGTGCCGTTAAGTTATAAACTTTGGAGGTACTTTCAAGTGCCGTTAACTCTTCGTCGAGGTCCTTTTGAGAGCGTAGGCGCTTGAGAGATTCAAGAGACTCGTGGATTGAGAGCAATAGTGATATGTCCTTAGTGGAATAGTACTGTTTCTTCAGTTTCCTTAACTTATTACGGTGTGCCCTTGGAATATATTCAGTTCGGTGTCTACTTAATTTCACTATTTTCTTTGGAGCAACTGTATCTAGACAAAGGGTAACATTCCTGTAAAACAGGGTTACTAAGGCCTCCAGGGAGTCAGTGGTAAAATAGTCATCCCATTGACAGAGTCGAATAAGTTCTTGGACTAATCCCCAGTCTGTATATTTGTAACTACGACATATTGTGCTTCCTGAGTCTTGTTTGTTTCCTGTATTTAGTGGTGAGAAAGGCAGAGAGCAGAGTACCATTCTATGGTCACTACTGGAAAATCGATTACCAACATACGTGGATACTGGGATTGTGTCATGACAAAAAACAAGGTCCAACATGTTGTCACCACGAGTAGGTGTCTGGACGTGTTGTTGCCATCCATAACAGTCTATAGTGGCAAGTAATTCGTCGAAGCGTTGGGGGCCGGAACTAGTTAGCCAATTGACTTCTGGAAGATTGAAGTCCCCTGCAATTATTTTGTAATTAGCACTAAACGAGGATGCGTGTGCAAACGATTTAGCTAATAACGCATCAGTTTCTTTTGTTGAGCTTGGTGCTCGATAAACACAGCCTATGAGAAGTTTGTACTTATCTCCATGTAAGACAACCCAGAGTGAGTCAGGTACATTATTCATTGTTTCATCTTCCACCTTACTGACTACAAATGAGCTATGTATATATATGAGACATCCTCCACCACGCTTGCAATCTCTGTTTGCACGGTGTACAGTGTAATCATCGATACCTATATGCACATCAAGTACAGAGGATGAGCACCATGATTCAGTAATCAGAGCTACAGTAGGCTTGGCGACTAATAATAATGTCCTTAGTTCAGATATCTTATTGATTAAGGAACGTGCATTAATTAGCAATATCGTGAATAAGTCACGGGATACTACAAACTGGCTTAAAATGTCACCATAACCTAAATCTATTTGTGCGTCAGCACCGCAAGAATTTATGAATGAAAAGGAGGTCGGACTGGGTGTCTGTACATCGGGTTGGAGTGCAATGAGGTGGTCCTAGGTGCCATGGGTCGTACCAGTGATTCGGGACACCTGGAAAATTTACCATGTGTTCCTGGATATAAGGGTAGTACAGGTTGGGCCTAGGTTGACGGTTAAAAGGCATAGCATCAGAAGGTCTACCCATCCAACTGCTATTCGTCATACCGGTATACACCTTCGGGTTGTTTTTATAACTTAAAGGGAATTGTGAAGGAAGGTGCTTTGGCTGCAAGACTTTAGGAGTCTTGGAGCCTGACTTTCTATAAGGTGGAGCATGCGGAACACCTCCAGATGTACTTATGTTTCGAGAGGAGTTTTTCGTAACAAGTGATGGTTTGTTGGCATTCTTACTCTCAGCAGGCTTATTGAATACAAAGTATTCTTCCCCATCATTAGTCTCAACCCTGCGAAATTTGTTCATCGTGGTGAGGTTACTACGTTTGGGGGGAAATTTCTTAGAACAACTTGCAGAAGTTCTAGTCATTTTAACATCTTTCGATGAGGCTTTATTTACAGGGGTACTGGTATCTAAATCAGTTCCTAGTTCCATTGGCAGGTGTGGTTGTTGTGTAGTTTGCTGAATGCTAGTTTCAGCACTAGGTGTCTGTTGCTGTGCACGATCCTTATTTGGTAAATCAAAGCTAGAGGAGGTGACCAGGTTATTACTACGCATTATTCTGCGCTGACACGGTGTTTTATCCTGAGCTACGGTTATAGACTTATAACTGCTATTCAGTCTTAAGTGATCCTGACATTTAGTAAACTTACTAGCATCAAGGGAATTACTGAATTTAAAAATGATTGGGCAATTAGCCTGGTTAGACTTTTTACGAAGTCGTTTGCATTCACATGGAACACTAGCCATGCCGCAACAAATCAGGATTTTGTGTCTTACAGTTTTCAGGGGCAGAGAATCTGGGACGTTGTAAACTATAGCTTGGTGAGAAGAGGTTATACGCTTCATCACCTCCGTAGCCAAGCAGTCAATCAGATTTTCAGCTTTATTTAGGTTGTCTGGAGATATTTTAGGATGCCTTTCTAAAAGACAGGCTATTGGGTCTAAATTCAAAAGCTTATTTTGAGTTACATCCAGTAAACACTTAACCTGGCCAATATCAGAACGGCTCTCCGTGGTATTTGAGATTGGCAGTGACATACTATCAAACTGATCTAATTTTTTCTGAATTTCACTTACTTGCCTCTGCATATCTTTCAAAAGGAGGTTTAGTTTACAGAACTCAGAGTTCTCTAACAGAACATCTTTCACCTGTATCACAGGAGTGAGATCTGCACTCAAACCATTTTGAGAGCTAGTAGTTGATACTGTATTACCAGGCGGTAATGCAGTTATAACCGAATTTAAGCCACTATCTAAAACAATTGTGTTTCTACGAACACGTTTTTTAGAGATTTGGACCATAATTTCAAGAATTATATGACAATAAGCAGTAAATAAATTTCAGAGCAAACACGTGCAAAAATGTCACCAATTTCGAACGTACCACCAACAGGAGTTAGGTCAAAATCCATTCACGGCAGCAATACAGTCCTAACATACTGCATACTACAAACCACATCTTGACCAATCCCCGCACCAATCCTCTCGGAGTCTACCAGAGCTAAAGCAGTCGAGTGTCGGGACTTACTACGCAGAAGCTCACCGAAGATCTGGAACCTCTACCTCACAATCAAAAAGCGAGCTCAAAGAAATCACTGGTTTATCCAGGATATTGGATATTGGATCATCTGAATCTGAAACTCAAGCGCGTTCGATAAAACTTGCGCCTCTTAATGGTTAACAAGGGCGACAACTGTTCCTCGAAGTTAGAAGGGATCGATGTAGAACTTTCTAAAATAGAAGAGAAGTTAGTTGGTTTTGAGGAATGTAGAAATAAGACTTTCACCTCTTTGGAGTCAGAGATTAATTCGCTCCAGGCGTTGCTCCAAGATCGTAAGTGTACTTATGATTGTAATTCGTCTATCAGTTACTTTCTTAACAAACAATTTCTCTCCCTAAATAGGCATATTTAGGAACTTATTACATATCATAAGCAAATGCAGTTTTTAGCGTTTAATTCTGTATACATATATGAATATATACCATTAGAACAATCACAGCGTCATGCATGCATGACACACTGCATGAATACTGCAGTATTCACTGTTAGATGAAGTAAACTATGCAGCATAAGTTGGCTTCTGGAGTATACTTGCACATAAAAATATAGTTTCTGTCTGTAATGACTCAGTAAAAATGTTTTTACATGCTTCAGGAACTAATTTGTACGTCGGTTTTGCCAGCGAACTCAAGCATAGTGTTATGTGTAAAATTAGTAAAGCTGTACGAGCTTTGCATTCACCAGCCTAAAGTTTTCTTGCCTTTTTGCTGTTGAGTAGCATCACACGGGTCTTTTGCATTGCATATTTTCTGCAAAACGTAATTGGGGAAATCCTGGAAAGATAGTGATTGTAGTTTCCAATGTTTGAATGTTTTGTGCCATAAATCACTTAATTTGCAGTCCCACTGAATTTTTAACTGTGACTTAAATATTCACTAGTGCATAACTATCCTAGACATTTTCTTTACACCGATATTTAAGGAGGTAGAATCAACTATCCAACCTGCATCATCCTTAACTGGAAATCTGAGGTTTCGGTCGATTCTTAGCAAAGTAATTTTCACACTACCGATGACCGATTTTTACTGCATAAACAATAGACATGTTTCGGTAGAATTCTTCTTCTCAACGCTCTAAAAGCTCGGGTGCATATCATTAGTATTACACTGAGAGATATGAAGCCCATGGATAGATAAGTTACACTTGATGATTCATAGAAAAAGATATGTGCAAACTTTTCTCCGGTGATGTCCGGATATATTGGTGGGGAGGGAGTATCAAGATTATAATTAATATAATTAATTAATGTAATCTCGGTTGCACCAGCTAAATAAACAGTTAGTTGTCAGATAAAGAATTAAAATATGTCAAGAACTGCGAAATTTATAACACTGATGATCAGAGTGATGTTACTAATAATAATGATAGTAACAGGTGTCAGATGTCCAGGTCTAACTACACTGAACTTCACACTGTCCTTGGAAGACTTTCAGGAATTATGCACGAAAAACCAGAACACAAATTAGCGACTCAAGAATTCTTTATTCTTGCACCAATACAGAGCCAACCATAAGGTTATTGTACACAAAGTTTCTGATAGTTTTTCTCCGTCTTCCAACGAACAGCGAACGATGAAACGATGACTGAAGTATCGATGACTCCCGCCAAAATATAGAGTTGGGTTTGAACAAACAACCGTGAATTGATCGTTCAGTCTTCGACTACATTGACAACATGTAACGAGTAAAGATGGTTTGTACATCAAAAATGGCACCTTAAAAAGCTGAAGTCGTAATGTATTTACCGTTGTGCATTGTATTAATTAGATTGTATGTGGTTCACTAGACAGCTTTACAATTCCTGTCTGGACGCTCGTTTTTGTTGACTGTGAGCGATTTTGTATCCTGCCGTTGTGTTCTTTGCATTCGGACGCCAGATAATCCCATATTTGAAGTTTTGCACCATGATCATCTAATGCGTTTTGCCTAAAAGGACAATAATCTTGCAGCCCCCCACCAGCATGTTGCCAAAATAATTCCATTTGGAACAGTTTGATTTGGTTTTAGATTTGGTCGAAGACTGGAAGTCCATCTCATCAGAATACAATTTATGCAGTGTCCATGACAGCGGTCACATAAGTTCTCCAAGCCAGTCGAAGCCTCATTAATCCGTTTATTTATCTGTGTAGATTGTAACACCATACAATGATCGTCATATCGTGTTTGCGCCTGTCTTAAATCCACGTTCACAATGGCAGTAGTTCTGGTTAGGCTCTTTCGAAGAGGCTGCAAATCTGTTAGATGACGGTTCAGAGGCTGAGATTGCCCGAATGTGTCCTTCACGTGAGCCTGCACCCGAACTTGTGACTAGTAGATAATTTGTTAATGCGTTGGCGAACGACGGATTGCACAGCAAATTCTCCACAAATCTTTGCAAGGTTTGCGCAGCATTCCGGGAAGCAAACATCATTTGCGCGAATTCCCATGATCCAAATGTAGTGGCAATGGCTGATTTAGGTAAATTTTCCTGAGCCACTGGAATATTGCAGTAGGCGCTGCTTTATTAACTGAGGCGTTTCTTCACTTCCCCCTTAAGTACTGTATATGGCTGCTCGTTAGAGAGGTAAAGCGTAAGGTTTTGCAGCTATTTGCTAACCTCACAGTGTAACTGATAACACATATCTATATTCCTGGCGGATTTGAATATTATGTACATATATATATATTATATACCCGTCAAAGTAGTACTACAATTGAGCAAACCACAGTTAAGGGTCGTGTTAGTCCAATTCAGGTAACAAAACTTTGGTAGTCACTAAAGAGTCCACCTACGCAGAAGTAGTATTTTTATAGTCGGCTTTCACATTTGGCAAATGAGACATTATAAAAAGTAAAAAATTGAACTGAAAAGAATCTACAAGCGAAAAAAGGAGCTTAAAACAACCATAGACACGGAAATCTGTAGATTATTGCCAACTATTGCAAAACAGAAGGCAAAATAAGAGCGAAACGGGCTAACCAACTTAGCGACCGACTCTTCGGCCAAAACGACCATTTAAATCATCAACCGATTACTGGTAACATTGTGAACGACTGATGGTGATTTCGGACATTTATTTTCGAAAGCACAGCGGGGGGTAATTCAAGTAGGGAATTCCTAGTCAATCATGCGGGAGGGCGTTCATTATTCCTTAGATAAGGTAAGCCTTACAAATCACAAAGATACGGTTCTTTCTTGGTTACTCATCACGTCCTCCGGAATTCCTCAGTTGCCTAGTCATCTTGGCGGCCATAGCATCCATGTTGTAGGTGCCCTATAGCGTTTTGGTCAGCTATACAGTAGTATAGATTTTCTGCGCTAAGACCACATCGACCAGGCTTTGGTCGTGACACAACACACCAACAACATTATCGCACATCCACACCCAGAGGCACTATGAATAAGGACTAAAACAGAAGGAAGGAAAATTTTATGGTCCGGTTCGATAGGTGTCAAAGAACTTAACCCTAATTTCCGAAGACACACCGAATCGACTTTAACTCAAAAAGACAATGAATTACAACAGATTGTATACTCCGACAGTTGAAATCAATACTCTGCGCAAAGTCTATAAACAAATGTTTTACAAGGAATGTATTGTACTTGTCAATGTAGTTGAAGATTGAACGATCAATTCATGGTTGTCTGCTCAAAACCAACTTCCCCAATTTTCGCGGAGGCATCGACACACCAGTCATCGTCTCATCGGTCGCTGTTCAGAAAGAAGTCAGCAGAAAACCGTCAGAAGTAATATTGTGATTTATTATTGTAATATTTGTTCATAGACCTTAGTTGTAACATTGTTTATATGTTGGTGTTACAATAAGGAACCCTCGAGTCGCCAATTGGTGTTTTGGTTTTTGCGTCCGTATTACTAAGCGTTTCTGAGAAACTTCAAGGAACAGCGTGAGCCCGAGTGCAGCAAGAGCTGAGGATTAACGGTTTACGAGACGTGACTGACAGTTTCTTACAGTACAACGTCAGTTTGTAAACGGTTGTGGACAGTTGGCACGACTTTGGATAGTCACCATTCATCTTTCCTGGTGCCGGTCAAGTCCTCTTTGAACAAGCAATATCTGGAACGTTTTTGGAATTGGGTCAAGTTCAACAATGCCTGGGTCAAAGAAGGGACAGAGCGTCTTGGATGCAAACAGGAGAGTAAGTCATGGTGACTTGTCTGTTACTTGTAACGATGTGTCTGATGTTAAGCATGACATGGTTGATGTTACTGTTTCGCCGTTCAAGGATAATAGGAACATCAAACTCCCCAGATTTGAACCACGATGTTTTGATATAACCCAGCATATTATTTACAGTTTGTAAGGGAATTTGAAATCATGTTCAGTGGCTTTTTATTAAATGATGAAATGAAGTTAATGCATTTGATGAGGTTGTCAGCCACAACTCGTAAACCGTTAATCCTCAGCTCTTGCTGCACTCGGGCTCACGCTGTTCCTTGAAGTTTCTCAGAAACGCTTAGTAATACGGACGCAAAAACCAAAACACCAATTGGCGACTCGAGGATTCCTTATTGTAACACCAACATATAAACAATGTTACAACTAAGGTCTATGGACAAATATTACATTAATAAATCACAATATTACTTCTGACGGTTTTCTGCTGACTTCTTTCTGAACAGCGACCGATGAGACGATGACTGGTGTATCGATGCCTCCGCGAAAATTGGGGAAGTTGGTTTTGAGCAGACAACCATGAATTGATCGTTCAATCTTCAACTCCATTGACACTCCCCGGCAAAAAAGGATCTATTCCTTTTTTCCATCACGACGAATACATGTTGACTT